CTGGGGGTCTTTAAGAGGAGGTTAGATGAACACCTTGCTAGGGTCGTTTGACCCCAGTACTCTTTCCTGCCCACGGCAGGGGGTAGGACTAGATGATCTGCTCAGGTCCCTTCCGACCCTACCAACTATGAAACCTTTTTTTTTAATTCTGGAAAAAGAGGAGTATTATCCACCCTGAACAGCTGCTTCACCTATTGTAATAATAGAAATCAGGCTGGCAAACTCTGGCAGTTCCCAAAATTTGGAAGTCAGTCAGAAACCTAAAAGATTATATTAGGGCACAAAAAAGGATTATAGGGATAAATAAAAATAAGTGGAAACATTAATATTACACATTTATATGATTTTTTATTCTTTTATTAATAAAAACTATTAAAAATTAGTGGTAGAAGTTAGGAGACAAGATACAATTTTATTGCTGCCATATTTTAAAGCAGGTGTCAGACAGACAGCCCATGGGTCAGGTTCATCACACTGAGTTGTGTTGTCTGGCCCACAGGGCTCCTAGAAAAGAAGGGAATTCAGGAGTAGGGGTGGGGCTAGCTACCAAAATCTAAAGGTATGGCGCCCCAGTAGGGGCACTCACCCTGCCACCATGTCTAGATCTGATCTAAGAGGAGCCCCACAGTCTGGATCCAGCCAGGGGCTTGGTGGGGGGAATAGGGTGCTGGGTAAGTTTGACACCCCTGCTTCAAACAATATTGCCAAGTGAAAATGTGCTTTAACATTTACATTTTGTAAAAATGCAATTTTACAAAACCTAAGACAAGGTCATTTGCATTTTAAAAATACTGTTACTAAAAAAAAAAATACAGGTGGTGGAAACAGGTACATGGAATATTTATGCAAAAATGGTATCAGAAACAGTTTAGCACCTAGGAAGCAGAGAATGAAACTGAGTTCACAAAACTGGAACTAACTTCGATGACTTCTGCTATTTAAGATAAAAAGGTACAAAATAAGAAATAAAAAAAACTGTCTGCCTTTGGGCTTCATGACATCTTTGCCAGTATTAAATGGTGTCCACAGGTATCAGTGAAGGTTTCTTAAACACTGTACTTGCAAAAAAATGCTATTATATCCAAATCCAAAATGGCACTGTGGTTTTAAACCAGGGGCGGGCAATTATTTTGGGTGGAGGGCCACTTACCGAGTTTTGGCAAGCCATCGAGGGCCACATGAAAAGCAGTCAGGGGCAGATAAACATTCATTTTCTAAATTTTTAGGGGCCCTGCAGGCCAGATAAAATGGTATGGCAGGCCGCATCCAGCCCATGGACCGCATTTTGCCCACCCCTGTTTTAAACAGTACCATTTTGGATTGAAACTGACATACTTTAACTGCATCTCTTACAGGTAGCTGCTCAGTGCCTCCATTCTGCTTCTCACATACAACACGCACCATTACCCCCCAAAAATTGGGGTGCATGTATTAAGCGGGAAGCTGCTTTTTTGCCTGCGGCTGGACACACCCTTGTTTGATTCCTGCTCTACAGTGCAGCAGTTGTGGTATTACTGTTTAGGCAGCTTTGGGTTCAACTGATGTAATAGCCCATTGTTCTTCACTCCATAAGTGTTAATAATTATCTCCTTTTTAACTATCTGTATGTTTCACTAACCAAAGTAACCTTTCTTAGTTCAGTTTTGCCAACTAGTTGTTCCTGGTCTCTCTTCCTATTTCACAACTCTGGAGACTAGCTCTTTTCAAAACCATGGATCTTTCCATGGAGACCACTCTTCAGAAGTAGCTAGGGTTTCAGCTGTAGTTAAGCAGGAAGCAGGAGAAAGCCTACTGAAGATTAGGCTCTATTCTTGCTCTATGCAGCCAAACTCTGGAAAAACCTTTTCTTCACTCTGCCTTTCAAAACTAAGGTGTGCAGTTTATTTGGGGGCATGTCATATGTGAGACTCAAGGCACTCTGAGTAGAAGTTCTTTTTCATACAGCATGTCACTAAAATGTGGAAATCATTACCACCAGATGTTGTGGGAGCTGACGGTTTAGCCAGATTCAAAAAGGGACTGGACACATCTCTGAAGGCCATGAGCATGGCAGTCAGGCATATGGCCTCTGAATTAGAACTTCCTAGACCTTAAATGTTGGAGGCAGGAAATGAGAGAGGAACAGCAGGGGGTGAGGAACCCCGTCATACCTAATTTACTTTCCCTTTCAGCATCCATTCTCTACCACTGTGAGACACAGGATGCTGGGCAAGATGGACCCATGTTCTGACCCAGTAAATGGCAATTCTTGTGTGCTTATGTGAGAAAATACCATTCTTCATTTTAACAGATTGGGAGAAGCACAGAATCAGTGACTCATCTCTGTTCCCTCACAGTCTTCCACACTTCTATAGTATCAAACCTTTCAAGTTTGCCATTTGCTTCCTTGCTATCATTACAGTTCTTCTTACAGGACTGAAAAAAGCTTAAGACCTTCTTCCAAGAAACATAATTACTAGTTCCTACAAAATTTTCAAAATTGTAAAAAGTAATTTCACAACAATCCATTCTTCAAGTTTATTCTTTGAGGCCCAAAAGCAGCAACTCTTAAGCAGGATGCCATGAGGGTGCTGCAGAGACACTGCAACATGAGCAATTTTAGGTGTGCAAACACCTACACATGATTCACCACATAAAACCAGAGATATCAAATAGGAGTCCATAGCATCCAAAACATTCTGACCTCTTGATGTCTCTTTGAGATCTTTCCAATGGACGAACTCCTCTATTATTTTTCTGTAGTCAAAAAATAAATGAAATTTATTTTTGAAATGGGATGCCACTAAGTTCAGGAAAATTATGCAGGGGTGCCTTAAGTCTAAAACCACCGAGAACCAGAGCCCTTAAAACAAGATGCAGGGCAATCATACAATCAAATCATACAAACAAAAAGCTAACTTAGACAAATCATTCAGTCACAAGAACGCCTCTTCAAAATGTAGCCTCTGCTGTTTCACAGTTGAAGTTGTTGTTCACGCAAGAAGCTTAATTTTCTTTAAAGGACAAGCTATATTTAAACAAAGACAAGTCAAGCTCCATTCAAATGTTGTGCTTTTTTCTCATTCATGTACTTTGATTGTTTTTAACCTGTTTTCCATTGTATTGAACAAGTCCCCACAGTTAGCATCTTCAATTTCTTCTTTTAATCTAAATGTGACCATTTCTGTATTAAAAAAAATCTTAAATCTTAAAAGTTCCACCTACTGCAATACTCAGCTCATTGTCACAACAGATGAGTCCTTGTTACATGGAAGTTCTGCTATCACTGTCCTCCTTATACAGTAGTTACTGCCATTCATTACTGTAACCTCTCTCTGGGAGATGCTCAGTAAAGCATCCCAGTCAATGAAACAGAATAATTCTTTCTTAGGATAAAACAACAGGTCCCCCAACCCCTGTAAAATACTCCTTTACAAATTTTCCCTGCAACATTCAAGGCAGCATACTACAGAGGGAAGGATACATTTTCTCAAAACTTACCTTCATTTGTCTCCTCCTCAGGATTTTCTTTCTTGGTCTCATCCAGAGATATTTTCTGGCTCTGCATCTCTTTTTCAAGGTCTTCTAGTCTCTGCAGATCTGCCTCAAACCTTGTATTCAGATCACTGTTGTCCTTTAAGAAATCTTTGACCATCTGTATCCTATGCAAATTCTATGACAGCAGCAAAAGACACAAAAAAAATCTTGATGGAACCAATTACTTGTTATTTGCTTTCTAGCCTCTAAGCTCCACGTGTCCTTATTTAAAAAAACATTTTGCTTAGTTAGATTTTCTCCATTTCCTGTTGTAAGACACTTAAGTATTAAGTGTTAATTTATTTTTTTTAAAGCTAGTGAGTGGGAGTGTAGCTTCAGTCAAAAAGATAAAGAGTAAAACATCTAAAACAAGTGAAGTTCAGGGCAGCTTGCTTAATAGTGGCTCAGCATGGAAAAGTTTTAACTGAACTGTAACAGGTCAGTTTTAAGGATTTTTCCTTTGGAAGGTTCTATTAAAACCACTTCACCAGGTAGTTTTGTGACTAGAAATTTTACAATGGTACATCCAATATATGATGGAAAATCTGGAAATGGCCCCCCCATTCAGATGAAGAAGTCAAAAGGACTACAATGCTGAGCTGTTTTGCAGCGGCTTTTATCTTTCTCATCTTAACATTATGGCTGAGTGTTCAAAATTTCAGTCTTAATGTTGTGCTTATGCTTTTTTTTTAAGCAAGGATCTTACTTTCAAACTGGTCAGAGGAAACATTTTGGCATGAAGCATGTAGACAAAAACGTGCATTTAAAAGTTAAAAAGTACTCTCTATGGGGAAAATAGGTTCTCAGAGGACAGCCTACACCAGCAATGTGCAAAATGAAATTTTGACAGTTAAGCATTTGGTTCTGGAGAAGGAGAAGGGTGGTCATGCAAAGTGGTCAAGATGATGAGAGTCAGAAGATTCCTAGCATAGAAAAATGAATTTGAAAAAAGCCACTATGTAAAAGTTGTATCTAAAGGGATAATCTTAAATCTCCATCAAAATTAGAGTAAAATATACAGCATGGAAGATGGAAATGATGAAAAGGGCAAATGTCTTTCTGTGTTCCACTCCCTGCAAATATCTGCCAACCATGTCTTGTATGCTGCTGGGGAGTAAGTCATATTCAGTTCAGGTGAGAAGTACTTATGTTATATGTATTAGTAAAGAATATTTACGGAACAGAGGAAGAAACACTGCAACTGGTGTATTCCTGCAGAGATTTATGTTGATATCTAGCTTACATTTTCTTGTAACTGAAACAGGAATGGTGCAGAATTTGAAAGTTTCCAGATACAATCAGAGTAAGTCATTTTTTATCCTCCCTCACCTTTGCCACTAACAAAACCTTACCATATTAAGAATATGCAAAAAACAGGACAATGAAAACAAGCCAGTCAACTTTGCCTCCTTGTTATTAACTAGCAAGAGGTGGTAGTGTTTAGACTTGCAAATATGGAAGAGAGATGTTCCAATTTAAAATAAGCATTCTTAATTGGAATAGGGAATTTTAAAACATGGTTTTAAACAAAACCTTTAAAAATGGGATTTCCTCATAGCATCCACTTAAGTTCTACAAGTAGAAATGGGTTTCAATATAATTAAATATTTCCTCTAAAATTGTGATAAAAATCTTTTTTGTTGTTTTTGTTTGTTTGTTGATTTTTTTTACACACAGTGCACCTTTAGAAGTTCTGGTAACTACAGTCCTTGAAGGCTATAGAACAACACAATTAAGAAAATAATTTTAGAACAAAGGATTTGAGAATTGATGGGGTGGGGGACTTCTTAAAGTGTTACTTAATAGCTCTGTTCTACTCTTGATACAAGCACATAATACCACTAAAGCTGAAAGGAGTCACATAGATTACACAAGCAAATGCATATCACAGATCTTCCTAATGCATTTAAATCTTAGTTTAGGGTGATTCAGTGGATGCTGTATGCTAGGAATAGACAACCAGTGATGTGTGCCACACCTGGCATGGGCAGCCTTTGTGTGTGTGATGTGGTGGATCAGGGAGAGGGCAGGCAGCACAGTAACAGATGGGGCGAGAAGCAGAATGCAGAGCAGCAAACTGGGAAAAGGACAGGCAGAGTGGCACTCCGGAAGGGTGCAGAGCTAATCTGTGGCATAACTGCCACAAAAGGTTGCACTCCAGTGTTGTACACATTACATGTTTACGCTTTCAAACATCTCAGTGTTACCATTGGAGAGTGGGTAGCTGCGGTACGAGTGTAACTGGAAATGCACATCCTGCAAACAGTTCCACTCTGTACCCTTATGTAAAACTGTCTAGCTATTATAGTAAGCTGGATGCCATAGAAGGGTTTGCAGATTTATTACAGGAAAACCTGAAATCTCCCTTTATTTAGCTAAGCCTTGCTCCAGCAATATTTTTTTACATTAAGCATGGGCACTCTGATCACTGCCAGACAGAACTACGTATCAGTCACATTTGTTGCAGAAAGCTGCTACTTTAAGCCTTGCTTTTGTTTTTTAATTTTAAAAATACCTCTTCAGACAGCATCTCCTGCTCCTCTGCCAGAAGATAGATCTCTTCAAGTCTCTGCCTTATTAATTCCATCTCTATTTCATGTATTTGACTCTCAGTCAGGTAAACTTCTGTTTCTTCTTCCAGTCCATCTGGCTGATCTCCTTCCTCTGGTACATAGACAGCCCAATCAGATGACAAAAGCTGTTTGATTTGTAAAGGACAACAAAATAAATGGTTAAAAACCCCAACAGATTCTTACATATGGGCCTATAGATCACAGAAGTTTACGGCTGGAAGGGACCTCATAAGATCATTGGGTCCAGCCCCCCTGCTCTGGGCAGAAAAGACTGCTGGGGTCAAATAACCTTGCTCTGGGCAAATGACAGGTTCTGTACTCTATGTATCACATCTAGAAGGTACAGGGGAGTGGAAAAGTTGACAAGTTTCTACTTGTTCTGCTATTAAGCATTGTAGATTCTTTTCAAGTATCGAAGAGATTAGCTAGGCCTTTAATAAGTTTACATGGCTGCGACACAATGTGATGAGACAGGAATAGAAGTAAAAGGTGTTTACGCCAGGCAACATCACCTTGTGTACTCAGATGCCAAGAGGTTTAAGCAGCCATTAATAAGGTGTTTTTAAATTAATATTAATAATTCAAAGGACTAAGCTATGTGGAAAATAACTATAATTTACTGAACTAAGATTATGATATGACCAACCAGGGTTTCAGTGCCTGGAGAAGGGAAAATTATTATGATATTTTGAGCTTAAGGCATTGTCAATTTTTAAAACTAATTATCAAGACTGTGGTGGTAGTGTTTTTTTAAAGAAGCTTTTAAGCCTATTTTGGTGCCTCTTCCAGAGTTTGTTTAAAGCAACTGACCTTTCTTTCAAGCTTCCCTTTAAGACCTACTTGTAAAAGCTCTGCAAGCAAAATTAATCATAAAAATGTGATAACTTCTGGCACCTGGCTGGCTGTACCCTTAAGTGTCCAGGAGATGCAGCCCCTGTCTAATCTTGACTGAGGCTACAGACTAACAATGATTCTGAACTGCTTAATATTACAATACAGTTTCGTTTTGTAAAAGCCTTCTTAATATACACAGTTGCCAAACTCTTTACATTGGAGTCAGCTTTAAAGTAAAGACAAAAGGGAAGACAGTTAAGGGGAGATGTAAAATGAATAGGCCAAGGATTTTCAGATTCCCATGGGGAAAGATAATGGGAAGATTGTCTCTAGGACTCCTTCCCTTTCCATTTTTCTTTTTGAGACACCCCTGTGACAACCGCAGTGATTTCTTTCATACAGATGAACAATGCTTGCAGAGGCACTTTATATTTTTGTCTTTAGAAGGATGCCTACGTTGTGCTTTTCAGAAAGTGCTAATCGCATTCTTCTCTCCCTCTGTTCTGGCTCTCTTGGTAGGGTATGAAGAGAGTGAGAACCATGTCTTCAGCTGGCTCTGTGCATGCCATTATTTAGGATCATCTAAGACAGATCATTTGCATGTGTTAGAACAAAGGAGCTGAAATCCTGAAGTAACCTGTTCATTTGTATGAGAGATCTATACTGGTTACTAATTATAAATTATGTGCATGTGTCTATTACATATACATGTACACACGTTCACTGTATGGTAGTACAGGGAATATAGGCAATCATGGATTGAACTTGAAGGGTAAGATATGAAAACATTATCTTGAGAAGAGAAGAAAAAGAAATGTGCCCTTAATAAATTTAAGAAAAGTTGTCTAAATACCAGAGGAGGAGGGTTCTGGAGCAGCATTCCAGTGGAGTGGGAGGAAGTGAACCACCTAAGTAGCTTCAAGATGGAAGCTGATTGGTTTATGAATGGGATTACATAATGTGGATGCCTACCCTAGCAGCGGACTGGACTTTATGACGTTTAAGAGGTCACTACCAGTCCCATGTTTCTAGGAAAAGGCTACAAATCAAAAGGGTTTCTTTTACCTTTTCTACCTTTGTTCTAGCTGCTGCAACCTCTGGAACATTCTCAAATTCATTTAGTAAGTTCTGAATCTTCTTTCCAAACTCTTTCAACCACAAAGAAGAAACTTTCATTTCTGAAGAATGCATTAACTCATTACGGCACATAATCACCTCAAGAGAATGAATGAGAAGAAAAAAGAGCAATGTCACTTTAGGGTCAACATCAGGAGTATGTCACAAAAGTGACAATATTTTGCACTGTATATTAGATGTACAGCACTCAATTAAGAAAAAGAAGAGATAGGAAATTTTACCTCTTTGATTTTCTTTTTATTGATACTACTGAAATGGTCACAGAAATTAAAAAGGTTTAGAAGTGCAACTGCATCACATTCCTCTGGTCCAGAAATATTTGTTTGTCCACGAGGCATATAGGCCTACCAAACAGAAATGTGTCAGATTTTACTTTAAAAAATACACCATTACCTGATTTCCTAATCTCAAGGTAGGTGCTGTTTAACTCCCAAAGTCATATTACTTAAAGTAAACCGAACAAAATTATATATAATACTTGTATACCTAACACCTGTATAAATCTTCCCTAACTTTCAGAAATCCACTGGTCCTGTTTACTAAATAACGATGTGTTCAAGCAAAAAGTTGTTTTTGCCACAATCCTGAAATCAGGGGCAGGCAAAGTCCAGCCTGTGGGCCAGATCCAGCCAGCAGTGGACTCCATTTCCCAGCAGCTCCTGCCCACATGGTTGGGGCTGGTCTTCATGGAGATCCCAGCCGCAGCTGCGCTGCAATAGCGCAAGGCTGGGGTTGCCATGGAGACCAGCCCCAGCCCTGCTGGCAAGGTGCATGGCAGGGGGCTGCTCTGGAGCCACTGGGATCTTGCGGCAGGGGCAGGTCAGTCCAGGGCCAGGGCAGAGCTGCACTGTAGAGTCTGTACACTCAGGCAGTGGATTGCGGCACTTCACAGGAAGTGCCATGAGTTACAGTGATCCCCTAGACTGAACAAAGGTTCACTGTTGGCTCCCCGGGCCTGGGGGATCAAGCTGCAGTTTAGAGTGGCTGTGAGTCTGAAGCCACTCTCCCCAAGCCCCACCCCTCCCTCCTTCCAATCCAACCGCTTTCTTCAGTATGGGAAGGGGAAAAGGAAGCGGAAGGAGTTCATTCTGGGGGGTTGCCCAGCTGGGGCTGGGGAGTGGGGCAAGTGGATTGGAGGTGGGGGGCCTCCAATCCACCCTGCTCCCTGATTTCCAGCACCAGCGGAGCAACCCCCAGAACGAGCTCCCTCCTTCCCTTCCCCTCTCCCATTCAGAAAACAGTGCTGGCTGACACAAGTTAATGAAAGTGCTTCATTTTGGAGCATCTTCACCTGAACCTTCATGTAACCAGAGTTCAGACTGCCACGGGACCGGGCCTTTTTAAAATGCTCTGCAGCCATGTGCTTCTGTAAGGGCACAGCTATAGAGCACTTTCAGTAGTCAATCACAGGACAAAATGTCACTTGTGTCAGCACCCTGGTGGTCACTGTGTTAGTGAGAAGCAGCAGGACCTTTTTTCATGCTGCTGAGAAAAGAAGTGGCAGTACCAACTGGGTCCTAGTGCCTAACGTTAACCTGAACTGAGCCATTTTGGCCCACAGCCTGAAAATGCTGTAGACAGATGATGGTTATTTTACTACTCAGTACACCAAGTACTACTATGTTACAGCACTGTAAATATTACAAAACACTATTCCTATTAGATTTTTGTTGCATTTCTTTTCTTTTGTTGCCCAACCTAACACATTTTGCTTCATATTTGCCTAGATTTAAGCTTAGTCAACCTATATTCAAATGTAATATGAAGGAAAGACATATTCAGTGAATCGTTACACCCAAAATAGCATCAAGTTGGACACAGAATCCACTGATTAACACAAGTTAGCCTTTGAAAACCGCTCCTATTTATTTATTTCTGTCAGTTTTTAGCAAGAAAGAAAAGAAAAAAAAAAAACTCATGGCAGGCTTTCTCCAGGGATGAAATCCTGAACCTGCTGAAGAAAAAGGAAGTTTCAACATTGTGTCTGGTGGTACCAAGATTTTACCCCAAGTTCAAAACCTGCCCTAACATACACTTCCATGCAAGTCCACTGAGTTTGACATAGGGATAAACTGATGACATGAACTGACCACAAGTTAATTTGCCTCTGGTATACTGTTGTTAAACTTTACTATTGTTAAACACCTTTGCAAGCTCCCATGAATTAGAAGGCCAAAGCCAAGGTTTGCAGTTTCCCCAGTGAACATCTCCATGCCTGTTGGTGTGATGATTCAAAATCTCCTGCTTCCATTGTGCACACAACGGACAGGCAGGCTGAAACTACAAAGAAGAAAAAACAAAACAAGTCAGTGGAGGAGATCCTGCTATTTTTATCATGTAAATTAGATATTAAAAAGCACCCTGGGTCATTATGACACTTCAGCAAAGGATAGCAGGAGGCCTCCAGGGATGTTCACATAGATTTTGATTTCACTGCCTGCACAGAAACTCATACGCAGCGTCCTAAATTTTTACAAAGAGATGCAGATGAAAATGTTAAGTATGAGGCATACAGTAAATTAGGACAGTAGCCTCTCACCTCCAGGGCACTGGTATATATCAGGATTCAGCTGGATCTCTCTCTAAAGGTTTCCCATCAGGCTATGGCTAAACATCTCTAAGAAGTCTACCCAACACACTCTACAGTGAAAAAGGATGAGTCAGCATTAGAGTTTGAAGTTACATATTTTTTGTTCAGTTTACATAACTAATGGATAAACATAAATGCCTGAACAAGGCTGAATCCATAGCAGCACCTGCTTATTATACTGCTCAGCTCATCATGCAATAATCCTTTGCTTTGGTGAGCACTACCATTTGCTCACAGAATTTTCTATTTTGCAGGCTGTCCTAACCAGTAACAACTACGCTCCAATTTGACTTTTTTTTTTTTTTGACTGTTCCCTCACAGACACACACATCCTCCACCCTGTTCCCTACCCCCAACAACATTCAGTTGCATGCATTAAATGGTTTTCAAACTGTGTCTCACAGAACCCTGGGGTTCCCTGATTGCAAATCCCCTGATGACCTAGGAGACTGGGGGTAACGGTGGAGCAGGCAGGGAGGTGGTGTGCCACCACTGTTGCCTGGTTCCGTGCCATTTCACAGTATAAGGTAGGGCTCCAGCGGCAGAAGGAGCGATACGAAAGGCTTCTGGGACTTCAGGAAGTTTGAAAACCACTGCATTAGACCAAAGTTTCTGCCTGTGGTGCTTAAAATCTCTCTGTACATCTGTAGACTGCCTTCAAACCAATATACACAAAAAAAGTTTCCATCAGTACCACCACTGAATGGTTATCTAGTACTGAGAGTATCTTCAGTGCATGCGCACGTGTGTTTTTGAGGTACGTCATCACAAAGAATCAGTAAAAGGTTGTAAAATGTTAGTTCTCATTAAGATGCTTCCAGCATCCACTACTAGTAATTCTCATTGGCCATTACAGAGTTGAGTTATGCTCCCATAGCTGAGGCTGAGATTAGGTTTGCCCCTTACCGAGGCAGCTGAATTTGTTTATGTATGGAAAAACAGCAAACTCCCACAAGATTACAGCACTTTCTTTTTCGTATAGAATAATATTTTGTAATTTTACAATTCATTGTTTTCTATTAAATATAGGTCTTTTAAGAAATTTAGCACTGTTTCAGCCATGGTTTGGCCCTGCTTGTCATAACAGTGGATGAATGAAGACACTATCAGAATCAACATCAGATTATAATCAAGGCATTTCGGAGTGTGACCTCAGTGACTTTCAAGGCCTTTCATTTAATTTCCTTACAATGTCACTAACAAGCAGTAAAAGAGGTTTGAGTGCCCCAACAGCATGTCTGTAGCTTCCTGCTTTTATGTTTGAGTTTAATCTTAAATCTGAATTTCCTAGTTTTATAATGCTTGTTTTTGGACAATTACAACATCCACAACTGGTATCTATGCATTTTTCTCATTTCTGTGTCACTATTACGACAACACAACAAACAGAACCTGGGTAAATGCAATCAACGTTCTCAATCCAGCGCTCAGGGAAGCTTTGGTCCGCCTCACAGGCTGACATAAGCACTGATGTTTCCTTACAACAGCACTTAAGGAGTCAAGCAGGGGTTTCTTTGCTCCACACTAGCCACTTTACTAAATGCTTCACTTTCATGAGCACTTACCACTTACACTTACTGCATATCTTTCTTTCCCTTGCATGGGACTGAAACTTCTTTCGTGAATTAACTTACATAATAATCATCATCATCATCTAGTAATGCAGTGTGCACTACATAAAGACATTGACTCCTCAATCTACATGTTCACTGACTGCCTGTCTTGTATGCAGCCCAGCCCATCCTCTGGCTTCTTTACTATTCATTCCATCCAGGAGGAGCAGACACCAACTGCTGAAACTTCCTCAGCCTGGCGAAGGGTTTTTAAACCCGAAAGCTTGCTGAAAAATTGTTCTCTATTTAAGTAGGTCTAATAAAAGATATCAGGTTCACCCAAAGAACCTTGTCTCACTACATAAAGAGGCGTTTGAGAACGAACACTGGGCTCCCATGTTGCAGAGCTAAGTGCCTCCTCATCCAGGGGTGTCAAAGCTAGGAGCCCACGGCGCCGGCTCCTCCGGGCCCCGGGTCCGCGTGCAGCAGACTGGCGCGGAGCGTGTGGGGCTCCCAGCAGCGCGGCCCGGAGCAGCCACCACCCGGCGCACGGGCAGGACTGTGCTGCGCTGCACGTGGCATCCCAATCCCCAGTCTAACATCCCATCCTGAACTGCTCTGCTGGACTAATACAGCGGGCCTCCTTTTTGGCAGGTGTGCCACAAATCAGCCCCGCGCCCTCACGAAGTGCTCCTCTGACCCCAGGCCGCACCTGCTGCTCTTTCTGCTCCCCACCCCACGCGCTGCTCTGCTTCCTGCCTGATCTATTGCTCTGCTTTCTGTGCCCTGCCCTCCTTGTTGTTCCTGCTCCGCTTCCTGCCTGCTCCGCTCCTCCGCACCCCCCACCACGAACTGCTCCGCCGCCTACCCAGGCTGCCGCCCACCCCGGCGCGGTGCTACCTGGCGGGCGCGGGGCGCGCAGGCGCAGCGGGGGCTGGCGGCGCGGGGCAGGCGG